TAAGATTTTCTTAATCGAACTTTTAACTTTATCTTTTGCGTTTTTCCTCGTTCATACATTGAAAATAAAAAGCCTTTCGACAATTGAAACTAATTCGAAACCTATTTTCAATTTGTCAATGTCACCTTTTTGATCAGTGTAGCAGCGACTAGCTAGAAGCCAACTATGATTAGTTTACTTTCGGTAATAGACAGAGAACAGTACTTAGCTAAATTTTACGTTAGAATCTATGATAAGAGAACCGTCAGATTTGTTTTACTCATATTGATTTGTATAGGAAAGAGACAATAAACCTGATTAACAATCAGATTTGAACTATATTTTAATAATAATTGTGTGTTGAGAATTGATATTATCGATTGGAATTAGATGTAAATCAAATAAATAGTTTGCATTAAAATAAGCAAGAGACTTACAAGACAAAAAAATTCTATTAAAAATCGAGAGATAAATCCGATAGATGATTTTCGTGACGATTGATAATCAGAGATAAATAAATGAACTCGTTAAAAGATTTTTCAATTAATTGATTTTAGATTTTTTATTATTTCAACTAATAAAAAATATTCTCAAATTTATATTTTAGACAGAGACAATTATCATCACTATCTTTTTTTTTTTTATTAACTTAAACAAATAAATATTTATTTATATTTATATCAGACATTCTTTTTGTTTTTTTAAGTATACTTTTTTGATAAAGAAAAATAATTAAATTAAGAAAGGAATTTTTGTTTCTGGTTAAAGATGTTTTCTCGTTAAATGAGAATATATTGAATTAAATATCTGTATGATATTGACATTTATTTAAAATGATGGTTGAATGATATATAAGATTTAAAATTTTATCTAAAGACTTTTAAAAAAAGAACGAACTTAGATTTTAACTTTTTTAAGATTATTTTTTGTTTTCTTTTATTATGAAACAAATCGTTGAATAAAATAAATATTTTCTCTCGATTAAAATATTATTTTCATTTCGAAATATTTTAAATCGAATCGAATTGATTTATGATGAGTTTTTTTTATTTTGAACGTTTTCTTAACTTAAAATAATATTCGATATATATATATACGATTTTATTTTATCGAACATTTTTTTAATAATAATCAGTTAGATATATAAAAATGAATTTTATTTTAATTAAAATAAAGATAATAGAGATAATTAAATTGATTTTTTCATGAGAATAAAATGAAAATAATAAGAAATATGAAAATTAGAATTATTTAGTTAATTAATATAATATATTATTTAAAAAACGTGTCAGTTAGAGAAATAATGTTCGATTTGATAAAAAGAATAAAATAAAATTTGTTTTTTAAAAAATTTAGATGATCTTGTTGAACGTTTAAATGAATGTAAATATTTATTTAATAGTCAATATCATTTAATAGAAAATGTTAATAAAATAAATCGAAAAGAAAATCCATCTCGATCATGTAAATCACGTTTTGATTTATCATTAAAATTATTTTATTATTCTATTGAAAATATCTTAACTATTGAAAAAAAAACAGATTAATTTCAAATGAATTTAATTCACAACAAATTCAACAATCATTTCAATAAACGATTTTTCTTTTAAATGGATAAATAAATAAATAAATGGATTTATTTTAGTAAATCAATATTAAATAATTATTAGTATTATATGCTCATTCGGATAAATATCATGATTTTAATTGGTTATTACATATTTATTCATTAGATGAGTATTCCTTTTTTAAAGTCATACAAATTTTTTTTTTAAACTTGTACACAAATAAGTAAATCAAAATCATTTATTAAATATTTATCATCAATGACTTTTTTAACAAAATCCTCATTATGGAATGATATTGAATTAAAAGGTATTTTATCATATAAAACAATATTATCAATTCAATCAAATATAAATAATTCCTTATCACCAATAAATAATTTAACTCCAATGTTTATTCAATCATCAAATAAAACAAATGTATCAAGAAGATTATTTCAATCGAATACAACAGATCAATTAACAATAAGATTTATTATTTGATTTATTTAATACAATATTATACATATATATTTATCTTTTTTTTACTAATTTCAAATAATCATAACAAATGAATATGATTTATTTTAATTGAAAAAAAAATTGTTTCCAAATTTTCATTAACGAAAATTTTTATTTTCAAAGAATTTTGTTCATAAATATTTAAAAACCATGAAATATTTAGTCCGATCTGGTAACAAGAAAAATTGATCCCTTAGAATACTTTATTTTTCTTTTTTTCTATATTTATCATAAAAAAAAACAATGAGAAAACATTTGATAATATATATCATCGATTTAAAAAGAATTTATTTCTTTTTCATAATCGAACTCGATGAAAATAAACTCATCTGAAATTCTATGAAATATGATAATTGTCGTCGATCTTTTCTAAAAGCTTGTCAAACAATGAAAATAATTCGATAAATAATAACCATTTTAAAGCCTGTCTACGGCGAACACTTGTTTTTCTTTCTAGAGCATACTTTTTATAGAGGATATTAGAGAAAAATGACGATAATTCCCTATGGTGTCATTCTTTATTTTTAGGCGTAGAACCCCTTGAAATTTAATTTAAGAAAGAAAAAAGTTGATTGAATTTGATTAAAATCGATTTGTTGAAAAAGTTTTTGTTTTCAAATGAAAATTTTCAATAAATAAGATTATCTTCTGATATTGAATTCGTTTAATTGATTTTATCAATATTCAATGAATATTTTTTTTTTCTCAAAAATTTTCAAAATTGAATTAACAAAAAAAACGAAGGAAAATATCTTGTCGAAGATTTTTATTTTTATTCAAACAAATATTATTATAGAATAGACCAAAGGCATTTTATTTGTCTTAGTTAACTAATTAAAATAAATCTTTATTAATATAATATCAATTTAATTCTTGAAATATTTCGTTAAAAAAAAACATTTTTTTTTCTAAAAAGTTGAATAGAATTTTAGAAAACAAAAATTTTTTAATTTATCATTTGAATTAACTTTCATAATGAAAATAAATCATAGGAATTAATAGGATAAAAAGAAAAAAAAACAGACGATGTTGTTGTTTAGAATAAATTGACAATAAATCGAAGTAAATCAGATGGAATTGTTGAAAATAATGATAAAAAACATATTAAATTAAGTCCATATACAATGTTTTATCGGAAATTGTATGAATATGTCTTATCTCGTCTTGATCTTATTTGTTATCGTTTACATGGATCTCAATCAAATAAATTTGAAAGAATCATTTGGAATTTATTTGAAAATTATACTCAATTATTATTTCGTTCACGATTAATTCAAGTATATAAATCAATGCCAAATTCGAAATTAAAACCAGTTCGAAGTGTTTTTATTCGTTCAATTAACAAATATGATTTTGTTGAAAATGAGATTTATATTCAATTAAAGATATTTATTCTTTTTTTTCTTCAACATAAAAATTCATGTTTAACACCATCAAAGGATATATAATTGATGATATAACTAGTTTTTATAAAGAAATATTTCTAAACATTCCGAATCTAGATAAAAAGTTAAAAGAAAATCAATTAATTGATCTTCCTTATAGAAATAAAACATTTGAAAATATTAAATCAGGACATGTTAACGTAAATACATCTTCAATTAATTATTCATCAAATAAAATTCAAACAAATCCAACATCGAATGTTTTATCATCATCGATTCAAGTAGATAACCTTTTGTTCTTTTCTTTTATTATTGATTAAATAATATCATCAAGATTTATTTCTTAAGAAAATAATATTGATTATTTTATTGTCAATTGTATAATTAAGTATTTATTTAATATTATTTCTAATAAATATTGATCATGATAACTATATATTAATTACTATATTCAACAATAACAAATATATATACAAGTTATTTAATCGACAATTAATTAAAATATAGACGATATATCGATTCTTAACAAGATAATTCATTAAAAAACAGAAGTCGAATTCTCTATTGAATTTTCGATATAGAATTTTTCTTTTTAATAAAATCTACGTTGGAATTAAATCTTTGATTAGATTTCAAAAAATTTTCATTAAAAAACTCTAGTCAAATAAATCAAATCTTAGTTGAATTAATCGAAATAGAGTTTATTTATTAGATTCTTCTCTTTTATATAATAGAAAACAAATAAGAATATTTGTCTACAATTAAATAAATACATAAGAACTATTTTTATATCTCGACCAATTTTATTTAACTTAATTGAATATATTATTCAACATCATATTGACATACAATAATATAAAATTTATTTATTTATTCAAACATTTGTTTTTTCTCTCATATTATGTAAATATTTGAAATAAACCTATTCAAATAAACAAGTAATTAACATATTAAATAAATTAATAAAATAATAATATTATTTATAAAATTTGTTAAATCTAATTGAATTGAAATCATATGAATCATATTGAAATTTTTTTCTTTTTTTTTTAAATAAATAAGTTCTAGGTGCAAATAATACAGTACGAACGACTCGAACTCGAACTGAAGATGGTAAATTTTTAACAACTATTTCAACAATATCAAAAATAAATAATTCAAATGAGAATCAAGATAATATTCTTATTAATAGAAATGAAAAAAATCTTTTTTTTTGGTCAATCAACAAATAATTGTATTAAAGGAACATTTTCCGATGATTCAAATTCAAATTGTTTAACAAAAAAAAAAAGTTTGACAAATTAAAAAAGATCGACAAAAAATTGAAGAATATTGACTTTTTTTTTTGATTATTTTATATTTGACATTTGTTAACAAATAAATATAAGAAAAAAAGAACAGTTTGCTAATTGAATATGTATGGATGGATTGTTTCAACATGAATAAAAACTTCAATCTGTCGTCTATCCTAAGAAAAAAATCAGCTGGGGTGTGGGTGTGGGTGTGTGGGTGCTAGTTACAAAAGGAGCACACATGCCCACACCCCACCTAAGAGGAGATCAAAGAAATGTTTTTTGCCGTTTTATTCATACATATTTTGTACCTTTATTACCATCTATACATTGTCCACATGTTGGTTCAACTGGAGGAGGAGCATGTACTGATAAAACAATCGACTTTTATTATAATCAACCAAATTTTCTGGCTTGTGCTCATAGCAATAATAATAAAATAAAATCATGTTCTATTTTTTTCAATTTAAAGTTTAAATAATAAATTGATATCTTTCATAAATAATTACGCGAAAAATAAGATGTAAAACTGATTTGGTAATTCAACTTGATAACTGTGCTTCTCTATTAACTTAACATTCAAATAACTGTTAATATATATGTATCTCTTTAAAATCATAGAAATATCGGAATCTTGAAATGTGAGGATGCTATTTGAATCTAATTTCAATATATTTATTTGTCAGTTGATCAAGATTTTCTACAAAGTACCTGTTGAGAAATAACTATGTGGAAAATAAATATCATAAATTCAAAAAGACTTAGATCATTATATAATAATAGAAATCACAATTGTATAAGCAATGGTCATATCATGATACAAAAT